CCCCTTGTACAAATACTTGCTTCACTGGCTTTTGAATGCTAAGAAGATTTTTAAACTTTATTTTGGAAAACTTTTTAATTTAAAGAAACGTTGCAAAGATAGTCCAGAGTTCCCACACGCCCTTCATCCAGCTTCCCCTAATGTTTACATTTTGCATAACCATAGCACATAGGTCAAAACTAAGAAATTAACATGGTAATAAGAGTTTTTAAACCTCTTTATTACCAAACAGCTGCAAATAAGTATAAAAATCATGTGCCCCGAATTGAATACTCTGAGCATTAAAGAACATGAGGAACTGCAGTCCTGGCCCTGCCATTAATGCAAAAACCACACTGGTATTTTTTAGAAAACCAAAAGGTGGAAATTCATGTTGCTGTCTGGTGGCTTTTATCTCTTGAGCTATCCACTATCTCAGAAGTGTCTAGGGGAAGAGGATTGTCCTCAAATACTTAGTATTGTTTTTGAAATATATTAATGTGAATTTCTTATAACTTTGACTCTTAAACGTTTGGTTTGGTTTTGAATCAGAAAGTCAGTTAGTTGTTCAGAACTCAGGATCTATAGAAGACTGGCCCTGTATTAAATGAACTTTGCTGGCTGATAAAATAACTTCTTGCTTATGCTTTATTCTCTCTGTTGCCTCCCTTTTTGTGCAATTCACAGGCAGTACAATAAGGAACTACATATAATTTTAGCTATTCACTGCATCTTGAGCACAACACATTCTCTTGATTTCCATGACTGTCTCGCCAAGGAGCTCAGACTAGGGATCTGAAGTCTAGAATAGCAATGAGCAGAACTTGGAAATCCTGATCACTCCTTAGCCCCTTCTGGGTGTAGAGTTCTGCCTTTCCTTGGAAAGCTGTCCTTTGGAGTTGTGACAGGGAATTGTCTGCTGTGCTCCCGCCAGTCCTGCATCTGACATGTAAACCTGGTCACAGGAAGCCTGGGCTTTACTTACAATGGAAAGTTCTGCCTCAACGCTGAAGCAGCCTGAGAGACAAGTTAGAGCCGACAAGTACTGCTTTTGATTCTGGCAGTGACATTCCAAAGGAGAGCAATTAAAATAATGGAAGTTTGAGGAGCAAGCAAAGAAAAGCCAAGGAATTAAAGTTCTTTCACCTAAAAAAAATGAAAAAGAGGGACTTGTCGTGAAGTGAGACATGTGATAGCACATCTATGTGGGAGCTCTACAGCGTGTTTTCTTTTCATTAAGGATGGCATGGGAAGGAATAACAGTGCCTCCAGTTGTAACAATCGTGAGGACTCCGAAGCTCCTCTGCCTGTGTTTCCACCACGTGCACCTCCAGACTCACCAAGGGGCAGATGGACCAAGACCCTTGGGGTGTGTGGAGCAGAGCAGCTTATTTTGGTATTCATGGTCAAAAGAGCCACTGATGTGGGCTATTAGCAATGTTTGACAAGTTCTCAGGAGTTGCGGTATTAGCGCTATATTTGGGTTTTGGTAAGAAAGGGAGATGATGAGAAGGAAGGCAAAAGCAAAGCCACAGATTTCCCAAATGTTAATCCAACCTGCCACCATCTTTCCCTTGAGGCAAAGGCGTGTTCTTGCTCTGCAGCTCTTGCTGGATGTTGCAGTCTATCATGGGGGATCAGTTACCCCCTATATCCAGTGCTCGCTGATTGACGCCCAGCTCTACTTCTGCTGACTCGAAACAATATTGTGTGTTAATGAATGGAGGGGAAAAAGAACCTCGAATTGTATGTGCTTCTTTATTCACTATTATTTGAACAAGGATTGATCAGGAAGTAAATTTGAATCTTACCAACTAATAAAATAATCTAGAAGGCACCTAGTTCAGCATTGCCCAGCTAAAATAATGCAAACCACATATAAAATTTATGATTTCTAGTAGCTGCCTTAAAAAAAGTAAAATGAAACTGGTAGAAAATAACGTTAAGAAGATGCTTTATTTAACCCACTGTTCCAAAATATTACTTCAACATGTAATTAATACAAAAATCATTAGATATTTTATATCTTTTTTGTTATCTCCTTTTTTTTTTGTTCCATACTAAGTCTTTGAAATCGGTATGCATTTTATACTTACAACACATCTCAATTCAGATTAGCTGCATTTCAAGTGCTGAGTAGTCACATGTGGCTACTGGCTCCTGTGTTGAACAGTACAGCTCTAGAGATAAATATTAATAACTGGTGAGTTGTATTAGGAAGAATAAGCCAGACAGGGTATAAATCTTAAATTATTTTGAGAGCAGTAAGAACAAGACTAGACATGAGGTACATTTCCTTATGTGAGAAAACTATTATTATCTTCTAAGCAGTGAATCAACATAAAAATGTTATCCATTAGCAAATGCAGTCTCATATTATATGCCATTATATGTCCTAACTTTAAATGGTTCACTCCTGTCATTGGTAATTTTGGAAGGTGTTTATTTGGGGCAGTAAGCTTGGCTAAATACTACAGATACCAAATATAAAATTCTATTTTATAAAGGGCCTGCTTGGCAGTCTTAAGAGTAGGATGGCCTAGTGGCCTAGAATATATAGCCTGGTATTGGAACATAGGAAACCATCCTTGGAAAAGGGCCCAATTCATGGTGCTTTTAAGATTCATCCATTAAGGGATCCCCCGTTGCCCTGAGTTTCACATCCCACTTTTCCTACCTTTGAAAGTACCAAAGGCACTGTCATCCTGAACAGCCCAACCTAGACTCGTCTAAAAACATCCAGCAATTTTTTGGCCCCCTTTAGGCCCTTGGTCCTCATACTGGCTGACTAACTTGGAGTGAAAGTAAGTGAAGAAATGGATCCCTCTGTTGTGTTCGTTTTCACCAGTTCCAATAATGAATATGTTGCCCAGAGTTATATAACTGTTAAATGCAGTTTTCTGTATTGGAGAGAAGGTTGATTCTTGTCTAGGCAGAAAATCAGAATTTGCCCTGGAGACCAGCGTATCCGGATCTGTGGGGAGTGGGTTGAGCTAGACCTACCAGACACCCTGGCTTTCCTATACAGTGTATCCAACCTATGTTTGTTCCTAAAGCATTGCCCCATCAGATCCCTGGGATCTTACTTAAAGAATCCCCATATAGTTCCCAAGTGAGTGCCTGTTTCTGAACGTGAGGTCAGCCTCATGGCTATGGTTACCATGGATGCCAACAGGCAAAAAAAACCTTGTGTGTCTGCTCCTACTTTGAACTGCCCTGGATGTTCTTAACACCAGTCTCGAATGTGGGCAAGCATACCTGAATGCCTGGCTGCTTCTTGTACTTTTGCCACTCTCAAGTTGGATCAGGTGTTTTAGGGCAAGTGCATTTTAAGAACTATAAGCAATCCATGTTTTATAGGCCATAAAGTTGTTACACAGCAAGCAGAAACAGTATTGCAAAAGCTTTATAAATCTGCAGCAAACTCATAGCATGTGGTAGTGGTTATGCTGATAAATTACTCACTTCCTACACATTTCCTACTGTGCCTTCTTGTTGACCCAAGATAGTCCCTTATTTTATATTCATGATTTTAGTATTTGCATTATAAGTTTGTACTAATATTTTCCATGAATTTAAACAGTCAGGAAGGACACACACAGAATTGATGGATTCTTTATATTCTAGAAATATTGGTACCAGCTACTTGATCTTAGAGTCAAACCAAATTCATGTTCCTTTTGAAAAGCGATCATTAATCTATATTCTTGTTATTGTGTCTGTCTTGCTGTAACTTCCAAACAGAAGTTTTACTCTTCTATTTTTCTAACAAAACCCGTAAACATGGATACTGGTGGTAAGGTAACCCGCCAAAATGAAGTAAGTTTCTTCATTAATCACACTCTTTAGTGCATGGCACTTTGTTTCTATAAACTTGGGATCTCGTAGTGGGGAGGCGGGGAGGCTGGGATGTTGATCCTGACTTGCAAATGAAGATGATTGAAGCTTTGTGTGTTCCACAAAAATAGCTACTGAAAGTTTAAATTTCATGTATGACCTTTGTGGACCCAAGACTGAAGAGCTACATACAGGTTTTAAGAGACCTTTTGACTTTTCAGATAAGAAAATATCACGTGAAAATAAGTCCTCTTCTAAATACTAACAGCCCATTTCTTCAAAAATAACTTTTCTCATAATTAGTTTCAATATTATTTAGTTGTATTTATTATTTAATCTAATCATATAGTTGTATCTTATTGACTGTACATATGGAGTGCTGTAGTCAGTAGAATATACTCTGTAATAGGATATAATTCCATATTCACCACAAATGGGATGTCAGCTTTCAGACAAAGACTGAGAGACATCTGGTGAGAGAGTAAGTGTTAAAAGGATTGTGTGTCTTGATATTTTGGCTTCTCTTGCCCAGTATTGTCCATGCGACATTTTCTTTAATGCTATATACAAGCAGAATGTAAAATTGTCAGCATCCATTAAGTCAAGTAATGATCGCTCCAGGATGGTAGCTTAAAATTTGGTGGAATTCTAGTGGAATGCTGAAAATGCAGAACAGTGTTCTGCAGAATTCCGTAAGAATCACGTAGGGTGCGTTTTAAGTACATAAAAATCACTTGTGGTGCTTGTTAAACTATAGCTTTCTTATACCCTGACCACTGAGTCTTTAACTTAGTAAATCTGGACTAATCTGCATGCATTAGTCATTCCAGGTGGTCATCCTTTGAGGCAATGGGTGTAGCCCTTCTGAGACATTCATGTGTGCATCTTGTCATAATGCAAACTGAAGTTCAGTAGGTCTGGGGTAGTGCCTGAGACCCTGCGTTTTTAACACATGCCCAGGTGATACTTTAGAAACTAACTTTGCAATTCAAACTACCGTGGGTGCCTTTGCATTCCCTCCTGTAACTAACTCTCTGCCTTTTTCTTTTGACTATATATATATTTTTTTTTTTTGGGGGGGGGGCTAGGTTTTAAACTCCTTTAAACCTTCTGTTTGATGTAACTTGATTTGCACACCTCACTTACCTTGTCCTTTTTCTTTTCTTTCTTTGTAATGTATACAGATGTGCACCACTTGCGTCTTGAAGTGCCATCAGCTGTAGCTAAAGTTGCAGCTCCCAGGACCACAGCCCGGCATTCCCTCTCCCAAGTACGGACGACCATGGAGCTCTCAGACAGCGAGCGCCCGGTCAGCTTCGGCTCCACATCGTCCTCGGCCTCTTCCCGGGACAGCCATGGTTCCTTTGGGAGCAGAGTGACCTTAGTTTCAAACAGCCACTTGGGCTTGTTTCACCAGGATAAGGAAGCAGGGGCCATAAAACTGGAGCTGATTCCAGCCAGGCCGCTTTCCAGCAGTGAGCTGCAGAAGGATAGCCCAGCTGGGCAGCAGAACCTGGATGAGGGCAGCAATGGGCAGCCCCAGGCCCAGCACCTCCTAGTGGAAACAAATGGGGCCACCAAGGCAAGTGCAGAATCGGCCACCAGCCCCAAGCTCCTCTACGTGGATAGAGTAGTTCAGGAAATCCTGGAGACTGAAAGGACTTATGTGAAAGATTTAAAAAGCATCGTGGAGGTAAGGCAAGCCGTTTTATGTTTTGTTCTTAAAGTTTGTCACACAGGGTAAATATGCTTGCAAACATAAAGTGAAGCCAGGTGTAGGAGATGTGTTGTCTCCTAAGATGCCGAAGTGGTGTGAATGTTTAACTAGATCATAAGGTAAGAGAAACCCTAGGGCCTGTATTAAAATCCTCTTAATGTCTGCATTATGAATTGGTAATGTGTGTGAGAAGCAAGAAGGGTGTACCAGTGCGTTCACCAGTATGTTGTGTTAAATCCTCCACCAAAAATCTCAGAGTGCCTCGCAGAGATGGACGGAGGAGGATTCCAGGCCGCCTGACGTGCAGGGCAGGTGCATCCTGACTGAGCCCATCAGGCTCTCTTTACCTTAGTCATGACTCTCTACTGGTGTCTGGGGGCTTCCAAAACCACTGATACCTGCGTCCCACCTCCAGAGGCTGTGATTTCATGCACCTGGGATGTGGCCTGGGCTGGGGTGGCAGGTGGAATTGTGAAAGATCCCAGGTGATTCTGATGTGCAGTCAAGGGTGGGAACCACTGCTGTATGCTGTTCTCTGGACTGCTTGGTGTTTCAGGGAAGGTGGTAAAGGGTTAAAAAAAAGCCATGGGCTTTGTCTTGTCTTGAGCATATACTTTCTGTTCACTTTTATAGTAAACAAGTTTGCAGAAACTACCTTAATCCATGCTAATGGAGCTCAGTTTATGTGTCAGATTGCTACTCTGAAAATTCCATTCATTTAACTTATAGATAGGTTTTTAAGGATAAAGTAAGAATTACCAGAGAAGCTGAGATGTTAACTCATTCCCATTAATGATGACAAATATTAATATTTCAAAGGCAAATTTGCAGAGAATAAAGCTATACCCACTTTGTTATATGCTACATTCTCTCATTTGTTAGTACCTATTTCCTGTTTTAGGCTTTTAATCTAAAATATGTTTCAGAGTATAGAAGAATATTTGCCAGTGAGCACATTCTCCACCAAATACATTCTTATGGCCTTAGAACAAAAATTCTAAGGCATGATTATGTTCTGAGTTCCACAAATGATAGAACCAGATACAGTCTGCTAAAAATAGTTATGACATAACTTCCCAGTAAAAATAGAAAAATTAATTGATGCTCAACCAAAACAACATGTGATGGCAAATGTAGAATGCACCAAGCCAATTGTTTTTTTTTTATTTCAACAATGATGTCATTTTGAACTTGAGCAGAAATACCTGTGAAACTGCCAAAAATTTTGCAACCGCCCACAAAATTGATGGTTGTCAAAGCCTCCTTTGGTCTATGCTTTTTTCTTTTCTTTCTTTCTTGGAAATTTTGGAACCCCAAGCAAAACCCACCATGATTAGAGAGAAACCTTTAGTTACTGAACTGGTATGCCATGACCACTCTTGTTTTTTCTGAGGCTGGCTGATAAACCTTGGAAGAAGAAATAAGGTAAGATCAGAATGAAAGAAAACAGATCAAGACAGAGTATTTTTTTCAAAGAAAGCTTCAATAGAAGCTCTATTCTGAGCGGTTCTTGCCCAATGTTTTTGACTTTTTTTTTCTTTTTCAATGAATTAACTCTGTTTTACATGAGGCAAGTAGTGGACTTTTTCTGTAAAGAGCCAGATAGTAAATGTTTTAGGCTTTCTGGGCCCTAAGTGTCCGTCACAACTGCTCTGCCATTGGAGCTCCAAATCAGCCACAGACACTATGTCAGTGCATGGACGCGGGGGTTCAGTAAAATTCTAAGGCCAGGTTTGACCCAAGGGCTGTAGTTTGCCAACTCCTGTTTTAATTTTGTTCCTTAGACTATATATTTGTGCCTCTGTTGAATCAACTGTAAAATGAGACTGATAAATAGTACCTGCCTCACAGGGTTATTGTGATAATTCGAATAGATAATACATGAAAAACACATTCCATAGTGCTGGGCACATGGTAAAGTGGTTAATAAATGAAAACTGTTATCATCACTGACCTCCAGATTTGCTGGTTTTGAGTGATGGCCATTTATAACTATACTATATTTTACATAAAGTCTTTCACACAAATAAACAGACTGGTCTATTCACTACAGCAGAGATTTAATTAGGAAAAAAATAAAAAATGGCTAATTCCAATATTATTTATCTGAATGAAATTGAATTATTTCCAATGAAGCCACTGAAAATCTGAGGTGACACATGATTAGGGAGAGGAAAGATGAAGAAGGGTGTTGGGAAGAAAAGTCCCAAATGTAGAAGGAGACACCCACGTAGGAAGAAGTACATGCTACTTGGTTCCAGAAGTCACTAGAAGGCTTTGAGTCATTTACCCTCCACACCTAGAAAAATTCAGCATCTCTGCAGGGCAGGGACTAGTCATCACAGCCCCTTCTTTACACTCTTTTGATGTGTGACCACCTCTATTTCTCAAGATCACCATCTTCACAGATGATTTTACAGAATGGTTGGGCCCGTTTTATCACATCTTTCCCTTATGAAGAGTAACCAATTATTTTTCTCCTTGTAGTAACTCAACCCAGGAAAGATGACTGCACGGGCAGGCTTTTAAAATGCAAAGTGCCAATTCTTTTAAAATCTGTATCCCTTAATCCATTTCTACTGTTTTTATAATTGTGTGGCTGACTCCTCTAATAGCCTCGATTTTTCAAGTGCAAGTTTTAAATTGGGAAAAGGGATGTTTATTGACAACTTACTGTGAGAAGCTCTCACCACACCTAAGAGAGAGTAAGTTGGCTTTTTCTAAGCAAGAATGATTTCAGTGGGTGGGAGCAGTCTAAGCATTTATAGAGATAATTGGTAAGTCGCTTTTCATTTATCCAGTAGCATAACGATAACTTCCTGCACTCGGCGTTATGGAATCCCATTCACTAATTGCCTTCAAAAGTCATTGTCAGCATAATTAATTTGCCTGTAAGTAATACATTTTATTTATATATACTATATCTATATATAATCCTCACAGATAAGGTTTAGGTTTAGTGTTGGAAGATTTTTAAACAGGAACATTTTTGTGGAAGGTCATTTTATATACACTGAGTTAAGAGACATTATTTGAGTTAAGACACAATTTGCTTAGAAACTTTCAGCGTGGTCCCAAATACTATCCGAGTAGCTTATTTCTGAGAAGAGATCCTTCCAACCTTATTTAGGCACTAGGATTACCAGATGTTGGTTACACATGCAAAGAAAGTTGTATACCTTTCTCTCCCATATGGAGAGACATTGTATTAATCCCAAATACATAGATATTTTTTCCTTTCCCATGCCATTTAGGGATTCAGAATTGAATTCCTAATGCTTTCTGAAATTTAAACTATTTTTGTTCCTAATCCTATTGCTCTTCCTCCCTAGACCTTTCTCTCTGGGCCCCCTGCCCCTCCGACATCCCTCAACAGTAGCTACTCCATCTTCTGCTCCTTTGCCCCAAATCCTAATCATCTAATTTTGTACACTTGACATTTTGGAGAGAGGTGAGGTCTTGACTATCACCCACACTCAAAGGAACAATGGAGCTGTTATTTCCTTTTCTATATATGGCTCCTAAAGCATTCACAGATAAAATGAGATAATAAATATGAAAGCAAGTTTTAAAAGTTAAAAGTAAAATAGCCAATGATACAATTTGTGGAGAAAGAGAAACCCACAGTTTGAAAGTGGAAAATAAGGGTCGCTTTCATGTTTAATGGGACTTCAGATTGACTGAGCAGGGACTCTTAGGGGTAAAGTGGGTTACTTTAATCTTTCTAAATGATCTATAAAAGAGCCTTTGAGACGCTCATAAGATTTGGCCCCAGATATAGTTTATAGCCTGTTTTAACCTTTTAGGAAAATTAGTTCATGATACTCTATAATACTGTGAAATTAGAAGTTATAGTCCTACTGCGAATGTCATCTTTGAACTATAAGAGATGCTAAATTAATCATCTTTGGGGATGTTGAAGACATGTGTATTTAATGGAAAAAAGTGGGGAAAATATTAAGTGTAACATCAGTTAATTTTTTTCTATCATATTCTAGAGAGCTAAAATCCTTTTCAAACACCTTTATCCATACAGCAGGTTAAAAAGCTAAGAATCGAGTATCATATAGGCTTAATGTTTAAAATTTAAGGAGCCTGAGAAGGATGGGTGGGAAGGGAGGGATAAAGGGAAAAATGGGGCATTACAATTAGCACATATAATGTGGGGGTGGGGGGGACATGGGGAAGGCAGTATGTATACAGAGAAGACAAGTAATGATTCTATAGCATCTTACTACGCAGATGAAGAGTTACTGTAATGGGGTATGTGGGGGGGACTTAATAATAGGGGAGTCCAGTAACCATAATGTTCAAGTAATTGTACATTAACGATATCAAAATAAAATAAAATAAAAAGAAATTTAAGGAGCCAAAGCCTTGAACATAGCTTTGTCGAAAGTGCTCAGCATAGTTCACTGGACAAGAATGAATGCTGATCTCCGCCCAGCTCCAGTGTTTGTGGGTCTACACGGACTCTGTTCACTGTGTGTGAGTATAGACACTCTCAGGATAGGTGGAAGAGAGAAAGGTGCTTTTCACACACTTCGTGACGTGGAGCACTCTGAGAGCTATCCTGCCCATTGCCACAGCTTAGAGAAGGGGCTGCTCTCGCGAACTGCTTGGAAGGAGAACTTGCCTACACTTGGGAAACAGTCCTTCTCCCAACTCTGTGCAGAGTGAAAGAAACCCAGTGACTAGGCCTAGTTGTTGGTGTGGTGCCCCCTTTTACTCTGCCTAGAGTCTTAGCCTGCAGGTTTGGGAGGTGGCTGAGATGTGGGTAAGATGGAACCCAAATGGGCTTTTGTCCCAGGCCACTCCCCCTCCCCCCACATCAAGGACAACACGGTCCAGTTGGAGGTAGTTGCTGATGAAGCCTGACTTCCTGTTCATCCTGCTGGAGAGAAAAGATGGTTTGGTGTGGACAAGGCGGTTCATGTCTCCACTATCCTTCCCTTAGCCATGAAGGAGAGATTCTG